GCAAACAGCTAAGGAAGAAACATCTGAGACAGCTGTTTAAGACAATTTGTTGAGAAAGACAAGAATGTGTGCTACTTGAACCAAGAACACCCCCCGGCCCTTCCCGTCCATGCTCCAAGGACACTGCATTAAGACCCCACTCTGGGAACAGAAGCTCTGCCTAGAAAGTAGCCCACTGACAATCCTACAGTCTGACTCATTCAGGCCTGGATCTTAATGCACTCATCCCATGCCGGGAGAGGCAAGCTGACAGGATGTCACCAAGCACTCACCTCAGAGGTGTCACTCAGAAAGGAGACTGCCTCTGTCCCTAGCACAGCGATTCTGCCTATGGAGAGATTGCTGTTGGTGTTGTTATGTGCCATGGAGCCAGTTCCGACTCATAGCGACCCTATACAGGGTTTCCGAGAAGTAGACCCTAAAACAGATAGCTCCTGAGACACAAGAGCCTGGGAAGTTCTAGCCCATGGGTGATCTCTCTCAAGAGCACACACAGTTATGCTAAAAGGCAACTGGGGAAACTTGAACTGGGTCTGAGGGTATCCATCAATGGTGGTTTCCTGATTTTGATGATTACAGGCTGTAGCAAGGTGGCTAGATAGAAACTCAATAAACAAAACTTGATGGCATTTCTATGTACCTACAACAATCCATTAGCAAAAAAACCCAAAACCACACCTTTAAGTACAAGATATAAATGAAACAAAACTGTATAAGCCCTTTATCAAAAAATACATAAAACTTTACTAAAAACTTTACAGAAAACTAAACAATAAACCTACATACCATTTTCTTGATTGTTATCATTGTTGTTAGCTGATGTTTGATCAATTTTCAACTATTAGTGAGCAATCCTACATGACAGGGAAAAACTATGTGAGCAATTCTATATGACAGAGAACTAGCCCATGGAGTTTTCTAGGCTGTAATCTAGAGTCCTGGTGTAGTTCTGTGGGATAATGCTCTAAACTGCAAAGTAGTCTTGAAACACAAGGCTGGTGGTTCAAGCTCAGTAGCCGCTCCTCGGAAACCCTATAGAGGGTTGCTATGGGTCAGGGCCACTCAATGGAACTTAACGACAGGAGTAGATAGCCAGATCTTTCTTCTACAGAGATGCTGGGTGGGTCCCAACTGCCAATCTGTAAGTTAGTAGTTAAACATTTAATCACTGTAACGCCCAGCTTCCTTATGTTTTTATTTTTAAAGTCTAAATTTTGTAAGATGCCAATTCTTTTCAAAATTGATCTTTTGGCTCAATGCCATTCATTAAAATCCCAAAAAAGTTTTACATTAAAACTCAAGAAAATGATTCTAACATTTTATGAAAAAGTAAAAGACCCGGAGGAGTTAAGATATTTTGGAAGAAGAATGAGAGGAAAATCATGATCAAGTATTATTACAAAAGCTATCATTATAATAATAATTCTAACAGATTGTATGATACAGCACAGAGATAGAATACGGACGAATAGAATTAAACACAGGGTAAAGCAAAAACTCTAAAGCATATGAACATCTAATCTTTGACAGAGCAAGTACTGCATATCATGACGAAAGAATGGATTCTTAATAGTTTCAGTCCTGAACTCAGATTATTCATATGGCAAAAGACAAAAGCGGAACTCTACTCTATACTTTTCATACACCAAAATCAATTCCAAGGTATTTTACATTTTAATTTGAAGCTTAAAATTTTTGTTTTTAGAAAGGTAAATGACCTCGAGACAAAGAAAGATTTCTTAAACAGATGCTAAGAGCACAACCTAAAAGGAAAAATTTTGGTAAAACTCATCTGTCTTAAAATTAAGAATTTTTATTCATAAAATGATACCACAAAATGAAAAAGAAGTCAACAGATTTGAAGAACATATTTGCAACATATATAACCAATAATGTACTTTTTATCTATTTAAAAAAAACTGTAACATATACACAATGGAAAAAGACAAGACACAAAAATGGTCAATGACATACGAAAGTGGTCAAGAAAATATGAATTAAAACTACAATTAAATAACACTATACTCTTATCACATGAAAAATATTAAGAAGTTGCATGGCAGCAACTGTAAGACAATGAGAAACAATATCCAAACAAGGAGACTGAAAACAGATTAAACAACTTTAGAAAACAGACTAGTATTTCTAGAGTAGGATATTCCCAAAGTTCCAGAGGAATTTTTGCACATGTAGCAGGAAAATGTGCATAACAATATTATTCTTAATATCATATAAATTGGAAACAAACCAATGTATACCAAGAATAAAATGGACACAAATTGGTTTATACAACAGAATACAGAAATGAAATTTAACGAGAACAAAATACATGAATATGAAGGAATCTCAGATATACAGATGAAAGAACAAAGCATGTTCTACTTAAAAGTATAATTTTTTAAATCTTCCATTGAGATAAAAAATGGTTAAACATAATGGAAAGTGGATTAGAGTATAATGGACTTCAGAATACTTCACTAACTGGATCCCAGAAAAGCAATGTCTGCAAATTTCTAAGGGTAAACTCACTCCCATCCCAATATTCCCTACTCAATAAAATATTAATAAAAGATTTTCATTAATACAGTAACTTAAAAAAATTACCAACCATTCATCCATTTTTAGGAAGTACATTAATGACATACTCCAGCAAAGTGAGGATGTACACTTAGGAAAAGAAGATCTGGCATCCAGAAATAGTGGATCCAGTCTATAAATGTAGCACGAAAAGGTCCCAGTATGATAACCCTAGAGAACCTCTGGACAGTAACCTGCTCGAGAGCGTAGAACAGGTTAACTGAGGCAGGGATGTGGGTAGACATACTGCCATTAAGCCTTTTGGTACTATGTAAATCTTGCTTTTAAACTATGTGTTTTATGTATCAATTTTTAAAAATTGAATATTATTTAAGGGAAAATAAAAAGGGATAGTTACATAAAACTCTTAGACTTATTAAACTTTTTGATTAAAATTTTGAGGACCTTTAAATTTTTCCTATAAAGATTCTGAAATTCTTTTCTCCTAATTTGGTTTTCACTGTATAACATAAAGTAAAAATCAATTTGATCAGTGTGTATTATGTAAGATTCAAGAGGTCATAATGACAGAAAGGAGACATTAGGAGATTCACAACATAAACATTTTCCTTTCTTTATAGTATTAAGCATTGGCTACCAGTTCCCCCACTTTCTCCTGAATTATCTTGCTTCTTTCAGTTTTAGAGGTGGCCTCAATTCAACAGTTGATATCCAGAATGCTTGCGGTAGTAACCGCAGACACCATGGAAGGGACATGGGAGAGCCAGCGCAGCGACTGCTCAGAGTACATACTGAACATATGTTGGTTATTTCCCTCCCCCCTTTTCCCCCTTTTCTTTGACTCTAAAATCCTAAGAAGAACATCTTTTCCCTGAAACAGTCAGCACAGAAATACTATAGACCGAAGCCTATCTCCTAGCTACATTAAAACTACATTATAATCTCTTTTGAACATTTCAATTACAGAATTGCGCTCTACTTCAAGGAAGGGAGTCTAAGAAACGCAGATTCCCAAAAGGATCCTCCCTTTTCTTGCTCCTAGCTTAGTACTGAAAAGTTCCAATTCAAAACTAATTTCTTTCAAAAAGTATATCCACAAGAATAGATAGGACAGTCCACACAATCTGTAACCAAGTAGCATAAGACAATTTGCATGACTTTTAACAGAATGTTTACAGTAATCTTTATAACTAATACAGGCACTGTATTTCATTCACTTCAAGAGGCATTTACTGAGCAGCTACCATGGGTTTTGTTTTGAAGGCCACTAAGACTTCTAAGAAGTTAATAAATATTACCCTAAGAAAGGTGACCAGAAAGTAAAATAAGCAACAGAGACAATCCAGATTATTTTTTCTCAACCATTTTAAGCTAAATGTGACTAGTCTAAAAATACAAACACAGATGTTAAAACAAGCAGAAGGTATCCAAGAATTAATTAGAATTAGTATTCGATTCCTTGATCTTTTGTTTTGCACTGATTTTATCTCTTTACGCTAAATGCTTGAGCAAAAAAAGAACTACTGAAGTCAGCAGCCAGCTTGAACCACTTACTCTCAGGGATTTGATGCAAGTCACATTAGTGCTAGGAGTCTTTTATTTTCTGAAGTGAAATCTTGCAAGGACTGAAGGAGATTAAACCTGAATATTCCAACTATAAATTCAAGTACGTGACTAGCAAATGTAAATTCTAACAACCATATGCAAGTAAACACTGCTAAGTTTTCTTATTTACCACTTACTGAATTTTCAGGTATTAGATTATATGATTTACCCGTAGTATCCCTAATTTTCAACAACCTTGTAACATACATGCTATAAAACTGAGTAAACAGAAGCAGAATGATTAGCTTACCACTTCTGGTGGTGGTGGTACTGTGCCGTGGAGTTGATTCCGACTCATAGCGACCCAGTATAGGGTTTCTTTACGGGAGCAGAAAGCCTCACCTTTCTCCCACAGAACCACTGGTAGTCTTGAGCCACTACGCGACCAAGAGCTCTTTTACCAAATATTACACAGGTATAAACGCTGGGGGAATGTGCTGTGACTTTTTTCTCCCATGAAAATTGCTAATATATGTAACTGTTACTGTTGTTAAATGCCTGTACATACATTATTTTTACAGAGATTTAAATAAAACAAAAATCAGTGACCAGCAAATCGATTCTAACTCATGACAATCTCACATGTCAGAGAGTGGAACCAACCGCACCATGGCATTTCCATGGCTGTAGCCTTTCATTGCAGATTGCCAAGCAAGCCTTCCAAAGGACCTCTGGGTGAGTTCAAAGAGCCAACCTATCAGTAGTCAAGTGCTTAAACACTTGAGCCACCCAAGGACTCCGGGAAATCTGAAGAGACACTAGGAAACCAGGCAACTTTGTTGTTGTTTTTGTAAAGGTAAAGTCAACCCATTTGCAACTCCAACTATCAGAGCTGGAAATACTCAGCATCTACGTACCTGATGCAACAGACGTTTCAGTTTCAGTAACTGAGTTTTTACGGCAGTGCAATCCTGGACCATGTGCCGGAGGGTCATTTCGTCCAGTATCACAGTATTTTCTGGTACATCTACAAACATCTTCTGAGCCTGGAAAAAGGGCGTCCCGCCATAGCTTTCAAAATGACCCAAAGGGGATTCTCTATAAGGAGAGCCTCTGGAAAAGTAAGGGGAAAAAAGGAGGGGGAGGTGTTATATAATTTTAGCAAGAAATTAAAATTATGATATCATTTCAATAATTATTGCAAGTCCTTTATAGTAGTCACAAAGCCTGTAACTTGCATTTACCTCAATCACGGAATTTGCTTGCACTGAAAACGTCCAATCAACTCTAGTTGTCATTACTAAAATCAACCTTGGCACTCCTCCCTCAATTTTTATATTTTTAACAGGCTAATTAAATGAAGTTTAGGAATTAATGAAAAAATGTTACCTGGGAAAGTGTGCCCGCTCTTCCTTTTCTCCACCAACTGTCTGCTCTTGGGTTTTGATTTCATCTGTTCTCTTGGGCTTCCTACCCCTGAGCCTCCTCATTTATGTTAACCACTTTGAATTTCAGCTTGAAAACACCCCAGGCACTCTGTTTCTTAAATCATCCAGCAGAAAGTTTAGATGCCTCTACTACTATTTTTCGTTGTTCTCACATTACTAATAAATCATCTTTGCCAATAAAAAAGTTAAACAAAATTTTATGGAAGTTTTATATAGACCACACATTTCCTAACCCTAAACTGCTTTTTTGTTTTTCTTTTCTGAAATCTACTCTAAAAATTTTACAGTTCTCTTCAGATTCATCCAATAAGTGTTACTGTTGTTGCATAGTAACCATGTACAGGGTTTCCAAAGAGTTGTTGGCGGGTTTGAACTGTCGACCTTGCAGTTCAAACAGATTTTATGGCCAAGTGTTTATCCTGCAGTGCCACGCCAGACATGTAGAATACGAGAAAAAAGTCTAGGTAACATATTTCATGGTGACTACAAACAATCTTTTAAGCAAAAGTCAACTACAGCAAATTTGAAAATCACTATATTCATAGTGTATGAGATTCCATTTGTTTCTTATATTAAGACAAACATTTTAAATATAGGTGAAATGTCAATACTTAAAGTGAAGCAGTAAAAACTTATTCTCTCCAACACCATGGCCATGCTAATATATAAGGTTGAAAGTTAAATTCACCATGCATTAAAGTTGAAAAACACTGGTCAAATTCTAGAGAAACCATGATTTCTACTAAGTTTTCTACTTTTAAAAAATAGTTACAAATTTCTAAATTCTTAAGTCAATATTAATTTGGTTTTCATCAGTTTCTTTGTCTTTGAAACAGAAGTATAATTTTCATGTATAATGTGAGGTCTGGCTTCCTTTTAACCCCCAAAAAAGATTTTTAGACTGCCAATTCACAGGGAAATTCCTAATTTAAAGACATGTAATTCTACTGTGTTCTTACATACTCAAAATTATCAAGTTTCAAGTATTAATCAATTAATTAATATGAGTTTACCCAATCTACAACTGTTAATGATATACAATCTATTCATGGAGTGACAAAAATATATAACTATATAAAGATACTGAAACAATACAAACTAGAATCAATTGACAAATCAACAGTAGAAATGTCAAGAGCTATATTTTTAGAGGAAAAAAATTAATATACTTTGGGAACTGTTCCTGGTTTTTTAAAGGACTTGGGAGGAGGGATAAAATATAAGGTTTGGGTTTGAGTAGAGAGACTGATTTTCTATAAAAAGAAAATGAAATACACAGGTACAATGTATGTTTTCTAGAGACAAAAAGGCAAACACTTAAATATAGTCTAAAAGGCTAAAAGTAGTGCGATTGCAATTTAATCTTCAACTTCGCCTTTAACATACTGCTTTCCTCAGACTCATTTCTTAATCTATAGCTGATTATGGGAAATTCCCAAAGCATGCTACCATCAATCTCTTCACTATCTCTCTGACCACCTATCCTGGCCTCTATGCCACACTTGAGCTGGAAAACTCTCCATTATCTCAAATACGTTGCCACTTCCCTGGGCAGCCCTGGGTACTTTAATAGCTGTCCTAATGCACTGCTGTACCGTGCCCCATCTTAGTATTTGTGGAGTCTTTGAGTGGCGTGTAAAATAGGTGCTGGAGCACAAGGTGGCTTTGAACTGCTAGGTCAGCAGTTCAAACTCACCAGCCCTCCTCAGAAACCCTTTACAGGGTCACTATGAGTCAGAAGCGATTAGACAACACTTACAACAAACAGCATAGAACTTTGTCAGCATCTTTGTGGGGTTTTTTCCCCACAGTCTTTGCAAAATTTTAAGCTTCATGAGGAGATGAACTAGTTTTTGTTCTTCTTTGTACCTGAGAAAGGCATTTTTATGTTTGCTTCTCTTACTTTGTTTTCGATTGAATGTTAGAATAACCTGTGAAGAGCCTGGGTTTTTACTATGAATTCATTTTGTTTTAGGCTTCCAGCTCCAAGATTTTAAAATTCTGAAGTTGTGACATGAGGTAAAGAAATGCTTTAGAATTACAATCTGGAAGTCATTTTAAATATAGTACTAACTAGCATTCCAATTAAAATGTACTTAGTTAGCTAAATAAATGAAAGACAAAAGTGATCAAAAATGGCATTAATTAAGGGCAGGGGTTGCAGAGTCAATTACTATAAATGCTGTCAATAAATTGCACATAAGTAAAATGTTGAATTGGTAAAAGTTGTGTGACAGCTATATTTACAACCAAGGAAAAAATAAAGGAGTAGTTACTGAGATGGCTTAAGACCTCCTACTTAATTGGCCTAATAAAGGTGCTTCTGTTGTAGCTCCTAATTCATTACACAGTGCTCAGGGTCTTAAAAGATGACAAAGTGGCAACCAAGACACAAAACTGGTTTCTATTTACGTGGAAGAACAGAGGCAAAGAATCCGACGTAGGAGGAAGCTATGACTGGAATGAGTAGCTAACTGCCTGGACAAACAACTCCATGCCTCTTTTGCCATGACACAAGACCTAGATGGCAAACAGCTACAATTACTGAAAGGCAATAAAAATAAAAAAAAACCAAAACCATGCTGTTCAAAATGGGGTAAACACAGAATTACAATTTCAAATTCTTATAGAATCTAGATTTTCTGAAGCCACGGAGGCTGGACGTACCACTGACACTATTACCTGAGGTAATCTTAAAACTTTAAACTAAAATATCCCTATGTATCTTCTTAAAACAAAATAGTTTTGCGTAAATAGTAAAAAGCATCTACCTTGAGCATTATGCTCTTATGATTTCTGTGTAAACGGAATCCAAAAGACAGCAGCAGCTAAAACCAAACCTTAAGGGAGGGGCGAATGGAAAGAACCAACTCAGAAAAGGACGGTGAGAGGCTGTACCACTCAAAGAATGTCAGTCAGCAAGGTCACTGAAATGCACAAGTAGAAAGTGGAATTGACCGAGGTTTTCGTAGTGAATATTCTCAGTAAAAAATTAATAAATGATTTTTTTAATTAAAAAAAAAAAAATGTCAGCAATACAGCTTCCAGACTACAGCAACACAGAGAACACAGCGATACTATGAGTCATACTATTTTTGTTGTTGTTGTCTCCCAGTGCATATTAAAGTTATATCTGTACAATATTGGAGTCCTGGTGTAGCGCCGTGGGCTAATGCGCTGGACTGCAAAGTCGGTTTGAACCACCAGGTCGGCGGTTCAAGCTCAGCCCGCTGCTCCTTGTAAGGCCCACACAGGGTCACTCTTGGTCGGAATCAACCCGATGGCATTTAACAACAACAAGCAGTCTATTAAATATGCAACAGAATTATGATAAACTTTGAAATATTGTTGAGAATTGCTAAAATGTGACTCCGAGACATAAAGTGGGCATAAGCTGTTGGAAACATGGTGTCCACAGACTTCCCTGAGGGCAGAGTTGTCACAAGCCTTCACAGCCGCACCAACCAGAAGTACAATAAACAAGGAATGGCTGTAAGAGGCAGTGAAAGGAAACATCTACAGCTGAACAGAATAGAATAAAAAGAAAAGAAAAGAAACATGAAACAGAATTGCTGGCTACAATAGCCTAATTAAGCTAGTTGTTGCTAAGTGTCATCCAGTTGGTTGTGACTCACAGCAGTCCTGTATAGGGTTTCTGAGAAATGACTCTTGAGTTTGAAGTTACCAGACCACTGCTTATCCTATAAGCCACACCAGGTTAACAGGCCTAACCTTTCACCGAGTACATATTATAACAATTGTTAATTTTTCAGGGGAGGAAAGCAATGAAAGGCCGTGACAAGGGCATAGTAGAAAGTCAGAAAGGTTAGCTAAGGGACAACGTAGGGATCACAGGCCAAGCTTCCTAGTAGAAATGAAGAGCGGAACTAACAGATAAGAAAGAAAGCTAACTGGATTCAGAAGCTACAAAAGCAAGAGAAAGAAATGCGCACTATCACAGGTATTATTACATAACACAGTTCTTTAAGTGCAGTCAATGAAATTTAAACTAAACAAGCCACAGGAAACTACTAAAGGTCAAACAAGAATGGATAAACACACTTTGGACACAAACACAATGGAATACCATGCAACTATGAAGAATAATGATGAACCTGCAAAACACTGCAAAACACTGACAAGCCTTGAAGACATAATAATGAGTGAAATGAGTCAATTACAAAAGGACACTGTATGAGACAATGTAAAAGATTAAGAAAATATTTCTATACTGAAAGAAAAATTGTTTTAGAGCTACAAGGGGTTAGAGGGAGAGGAGAGTAATTCACAGGACAGGAGGCAGACACATGATAGCTCAGGTAACTGGGAGAACAATACACAAGAAGATGGAGGATGGCAGATGACCATAATGAAGACAGGGGAAGACTCAGTGAGGTATGCATGGGCTAAAAGGGATAGAGGTAAGTGATACAGGGATCAAGACATAATCTCAATGGGTAAAGGAGGGGAAAAATGCTTAGGGGTTTGACTGTCTTGGGGATGTTAGTTTCTCCTACCTATTATTGAAAATTATACATTTAAGTGTCATCGAAATGACTATTAGGAATTATAATTACAGAAAGTCCGTAAAGCCATCTGTAGCCTGTAACAGACTGAATTAGCATTTACCAGGAAAACAGGCTTCTTGGTAAGCCTTTACGGAGT